CAAAGACTTTCTCCACAACCCTAAAAATAACAATGCCTGTCTTCTATCCCACTTTCACAAATTATCAAATTGTAGCACCCTGTAACAAGATGCCTACACCCTGCATTTCAACACATCCACATCAATACTTACTATAAGATTGGAAATCTGATGACCGCATAGTAACTGTACCCAAGCCACTCAGACACACATTCGCCATGGTCAGCTTAAGGTTTGAATGGTCAATCTGTGCTTAAAACTCTTCGTTTTCTTCAGTCAATGGCTAAGGAAAGCCAGGTGACCCAGTGTTGACCTATTCATTCAGATTCAGTTAAAGCTACCAAAACACAGTTTGACATCTTTGTCTTTCCAAAAGCAAATTAAAAGAAGGTGGAAAAAAGAACAGTGTTTGAGACTCCTCTATGCAAAGGCTCTTCCTTGCCTCGGCAGATACAAGTTGGATGCTGTTGAAATTTTAATTCTAAACTGTCTGCATAAATGTTTCATGCAAATTGATCCATGCAGATTCATCTATATTTTCATACCTGAATTCATTCATAAAGAATAAAAAACATAGAACTGCGTCAGACTTTGCACAAATTATGAAGATCTGCTGTCTTAGAACAAGTAAAAACTCATCTTTATAATAATAATAATAATAATAATAATAATAATAATAACAGAATTATTTACACACTTTTACAAAAAATTCAGAATTCAGAATTACAAACAATTCATTTTAAATTACTATATTTGCTGAGTGTCACCACTAACAGTCTAATTTCTTCTTACCATCCCACAGACACTGGAAAATCTGGATTTTATATTTTAAGCATTGCAGTGAGATTTGCATTTTGGGCCAACAGATCAGCTACTCATGTCCTACATCAGTTTCTTATTTTTTTAAGTTTATTTATTTTTTAATATGAACACTGATGTCCAAACTTATCTCAATTTACCCGAGCCACAGGGACTGTCTCAAGGGAAAAGATATTCAGCATCCCTATTAGCTCTCTATATCTATCTATCTATCTATCTATCTATCTATCTATCTATCTATCTATCTATATATATATATATATTTGTTTTTTTTGTTTGTTTGTTTGTTTGTTTTTTTTAAATGCGATTTTGTAGATGTAGATTTTCATCTCCTTTCTTGGTTTCTCTATTACTGCACAACACTGCCCCTGCCACTGCTCTCCACTTCACTTAAATGTAAACGTATTTCTTTATAAACAGAGAAACACAGCAGCATGTAGATAGTATGCAAATTGCAGGCAGCAGCGTAAGCCTGTGGATTTGGAATGAATCTGATTCACTAACACAAACAAAGTTGTAAGAACAAAGCTGGCGGTGCACACGTGTCATGAATCTGATGGTGATTTTGCATGCACCTAATTTTTTGTGCAGGGTAAGAACATTTCCATGCACATATTAGTGAATGAGACCCATTGTGAACTGTAGACAAGTACTACTTATGTCAGCCAACACAAATACTATATCAGGTATAGACAGACCCACTCTGAGCCAGGAAAGAAAGTAGAAGAAGAGAGGGAAAAAAACCCCCCAAAAAAAAAAAACCTATCTACATGGAAAAAAATTATACTTTTTGAAAAAATTTTAGTAAAACGTTAAGTTAGTTAGTGTTTAGAAAAAGTAGTAAGAGTAACTTTTTTCACTGAGAAAAAAAATTATATATTGGTCAAGCAGGTAGGAGCTGTTACTGCTCATTTTATTCTAAAAGAACAGTTAGTTAAGGAATGTGATGGCACTAAACACTAATAGAGCCTGTGATAGCTACAAAGAGCATCAGACTGGAGTTATCAGGCAATACTTTGATCTAATTTTACAATACCAATGTTGCCATTACATCCCACTGCCCTACACAATAGGCGCCTGGGCCTGCAGCATTTCTCTTGGGGTCTAGATCACATGGTGTGAGTGAGTGAGTGAGGCATCTGGCAAGATGCCTTTTGGTGCCCAACTTTGGAAATGTACTGAGGATCTGACTTGTTGGGAGGACACCACAGGAAATATCCATAATATGCAGGTAGAGTTTAATTGTGGAGGTCTTTATCACCACATTCACCCACTACCCCTTGTCTTTTTCAATGTATGATACCAATTGGAAATTTGTAGAGCTAAATGACAGGTTAATGTTTTTGCACCTATTGCAAACCAGCACTGCTGTAAAAAAACAAAACAAAACATATAAGTCACACAATAAAATAAAATAAAAAATCCAAATTCTATGAATAAATTCAATTCAATTCAAACAGCAGGGTCTTGTAAGATAAAGAATCCTACAATAATACATTGACAATTGGCAATGGTTGGAAGGAAAAACTCCCTTATAACAGGAAGAAACCTCCAGAAGAACCAGGTTAAGAAAGGGGTAGGCATCTACCATGACTGGTGAGTGGAGGAAGACAAGATAATTTTGATATCAATTTAAAATAGAGCCATGCATGTCCCAAATGCAGTATAATAAATAAATTCCAGTGTGATTAAATTACTAAGAACAAATTAAGACTAACTTAAAAACTGAAAACATACAAGTAAATTTATAACAACACTATACTGATGAAGCAAGCTGGAGTTCCACAGGCAGGCAATTTGACACTTGAAGCCCTAACAGCAAACACCCAGTCGCCTTTTGCCCTAGTTTATTCAAGGGACAAAATGATCAAAGTTATAAAATAAGAGGAGCAAGAGTAGAAACAGGGGAAACCCCCTGAATGGAGTAATGCTACAGCTGCTCTAAGTTCTCTGCCCAACTTAAGGTTTGTGACAGAGAGAAAAAAAATGCCTGCTAGTTACAAGAAAGGAAAACGGCAAACTCTGTTTACAAAGAACTGCACCATGAATATGTACAAAAACAAGCTAAAATAGAAAACCCTCAGTAAGAACAACCCACCCATTGAGCAGTTCTGCGATCTGTAACCCTGATCAGGATGCAGCTAAGCACTTCAGGACAAAAGAGGAAGCTTCTTCACAACACAGGATGTGGGGCAAGGGGAAACACTGGCCTAGACACAAGCTTGCTTTGAATACTGTCACAACTATACAATAGATGTGTGGGCTAGCCACAGCAGGCTGGCAAGATCAAACATATGCTCGGTCTTTACAACAATCAGCTCAATAGCCCTGTGGTTAACACTAGGTTTGGCCAGTTGCACCACACTGCAAAACAAAGGAAGCTATGGGCAAACAGTGATTGACATCTAGTTTCCTCAGTCTACAGAGTGAGCTTTACCGATTCAACTATCAGTTACCGGAGACATGACTATATTACATATAAAGCGTCTTTGCTGGACAGTGAACAGAAGACTGAGACACCGGGAGATGAATGTGAAACATACCTTAGAAAAACGCCCTCCTATTTGGACGATGGGGCAGTTCCACCCTTCATGTTTCAATCCATCTTCACGTTGTCACTGAAATGTTTGAGGAGAAAATCATAACACAAACAACAACACACAGCCTGCATCAGCAGCAATTCGAGTGATTCACACTGCCTAGCAGCAGGTTAGCTAACACTGTGTTTGGGAATGACAGCTCAGAGATGACAACTACTTTACAACGTTTCACGCTATAGATAAAACAATTACACAGTCTCGACAACAGCGTTTATAACCATTCCGCCTCTGAGGAACTACAAACATTATCATTCGACTAATGTACGACAGATTGGAAATTGTTAATGTTAGCCCCCTTCTTCTAACGTTAGCTAATAGCTAATAGTGAACCGTGTTGGGGAAAAATATATTCCCAATATAAAGAACGGGTCGTGTGTCTAATGAGGGGTGCAGATATAGCTAATTTAATGGAAGAACCTACCCATATGGCTTGGCGTCAACACGGCGACGTGTTCGTGCGCTAAAAGGCTTCCCCCGGCTAATGCCAGTTAGCCAGCTTTCCTGCTAGCCAACCCCTCCGGTTCCCAACGGTGGCTCCCGGCGCCGGTCAAAGCAGGCTGTTATCCGTCTGTCAGCTTCTGCGCCAGCTATCCGTGACAGCAGCCCCGCACTGACAATCAGCTCGCTTTTGTTTTGAATTATAAGCTACACAGTAAGTAAAGACAGACCTGCCTGTCCGGTCACGGGGACTCCACCTGAGGATGTTATGACCAGCTAAACTGCTGGTCGACTGGACAAGTTGTCTTGCTGCTGCGACAATGCAGCCACGCTGTCTGTCTAGGGCCCTCCTCCCTTCCCATGAAACACACACAAACACGCACACACACAAACACGCACCGAGAGTGAAACTGCGTGGGATTTATCGGTGTCATATATTTGTGGTATGAGGCGTGTGACTCACTTACATTTCAAACAGCAAAACAGATCCTATCAGAGAATCGCACTACATTGTCGCAGTGAGTTACAAAAATGTGTTTGTGGGTGTGCCTCACACTTTTTTGTTTTGTTTTTACAAAGTGGACCATAGGCATAATTTTCATCTACAGGGAGCGGAAGTCAGAGCACTGAAAAATAGCTAGAAAAAAAATAGCTAGAAGAAAAAATCTAAAAACAAAACTATCTATCTATCTATCTATCTATCTATCTATCTATCTATCTATCTATCTATCTATCTATCTATCTATCTAT